AATCTCTTAAGTAAAAATATTTTTCTCAATATAAAATAGCGAAATAAATGAATACCAAAAGCATGACTGCCTCAAAATAATATAAAATAGCTTTACTCTGACTGCATACTTTCACATTGTTAGAGCACTATTGTAGAGCTTATTTCATTGGACCTGGTCCCCAGCATCCAACTGTGTAGGGATGGAACATTGTTGTAGCATAATAATAAACGCTTTGTATTTCCACTCCGTTACAAAGATCAATGTCACAGGGCTACCAAAGTTGCCCATCACTTCTGTAAGGACCTAGGATTGAATGGCTATCTCTTGCAATTCAAATAGCTGTAATTCATTTATCCTCCGGTTTCATGAAAGAAATTGAGTAGATAAGTTTATCAATTTTGCATTCTGTTATGTCATTGCTATTTGAAGACAAGCCATTCTTAATTGGACCTGAGGGAAGAATACAAAGTGGTAAACCATAGTAATTATAGAAACCTTAGAATTAAGCACTTCCAAGACAAGTGTCTAGATCTATTGATGATCCACTGTATATATTATCTCCATATTTCTAAAGGAAGAATATATCAAAACCATATTCTGAGTTGCCTGTATGAATATGAACTCCATTAATTGCAATTCCAACTATATCCATATAATTTCCAGAGTATTCTGTATAGGAAGGGCTAACTTGCTATACATACTATTAATTCGTCTAAGTTGTATCACATAATATGCTATTTACAGTGTCTTGATCACTACCTCCCATCTTCTATGATTATCTATCTTAACTGAGCAAGCATTCTTGCAGTTTTGCTTGCTTAAGAGGAGTTTTTGAATTCCACTTCAAAATCAATGTCATTTTCAGTTAATACAGTTGATGTCTATGTTAAATTACAAAATAGAATGTGCTGAAACATTGATTGGGTAAAGAATTAGTTTTAATTCTTAACGTAGCTCCTGATTTACTATTATTTTAAGAACCATTATCACTATCTAAGAATTTTCTAGTGCCAGTTTTGGTGTCCTTAAGTACAACATCTTCTCTCTACATTCAGTATAAGTCTTTCTCTTTCAATTGCAAGGTGGACTTGATGCATCTGGGTAGAATTTCATACAAAAACATGTCGCCTTTCTGAAGAATCTGGTGATTAATCAGTTATGCCAAAAAAATTCACACATTCCTTGCATTATTTAAGATCAGGTGCCTCTGTAGTTGTAGTAGTAGTCATTTTAGTAGTTAAACTTGTGGTACTTTCATTTTAGTGGTAATTGAAGAAATCATAGTAACTCGGTTGGATGTTAATTGTGTAATATTCGCTGTAACAAATTACTTGGTTGCTGGAACTGCTAAGACAATGTTGTACCTGTTGATGAAATTTATTTGGTTTTAAATACTGTATATTGTGTTGTTGCTGTTTATTTAGTCGTAATTGTTAAAGTACTTGCTTTTGATGTTACATTAGTAGAAATAGAATTTGTTTCTTTGGTTGAAATGACTGGTAAGGTAGTTGAAATTCTAAATACTTTTATCAATTCATAAATTTACTGAGAAATTTTTTTTCTCTATAAGTTTACTTAATGGGGTTTTGGGGTTTTGGGG